ATTTGTGAGAAAAGAAAATCCCATTTCAAAGGAAATAAAACAAATTTAAAGCTCCACTTTTCTCATATTTACACACAGAAGGTGTCGATTAAATTGCTATGTATCAGATTCAACTTTCTCTAGTTTATGATAGCCAGCACAAGGTGAGCAGTTGGTAGACTAGTAATAATTTAACACTCAAAATGCAAAAGTAAACAGTTAAAAGATCCGACTTACCTTTCTCTCCATTCGTGAACGCCCCTCTAAATGAGCCGCCTAAGCGGACCTCTCCATCCTGGAGGTCCTCCAGGACCAGGTCTCTTACTGGGATGGGCTGCCGATACACCTGGAAGCAGCTCCTGTCGTTACGAGTCACCGGTCGGGTCAGAACCAGCAGCTCAGAGAAGAGGAAGACGTGTAGCCTCTGAAACATCATGTTATGAGAGAAATAAGTCTACATCCTAAAGATTACGGAGGAAATGAGAAGCTCTTGTTCTCACCGATCCGCTCTTGGTCCGAAGCTCGCCGTGACAGAGGAGGGTCCTACACTCATCTATGAGGGGGTCCCGCTGCTTTTCATCCAGGAACTCCAGCTTGTCTATGTAATACTGGCACTCTGACTCCCCCTTTCTCACGTTGATATCAGACAAAATGTCCTGGATTATTGTAATCTGGTTGACAAAAGGAAGAATTATGTGCAGCAGCGCCAACAAGTAAAACATAACACAGCTCAGAAATACATTAACTATCGCTGTGAATCTCTTTTAGTAAAAGCTTTTACTTTATTAATCAAAGCAGTTTCTTTATATTCTGGAATGAAAACACAACTACAATTAAAATGTAGAGAAGAACTGGTTGCAGATAAAAGCATGGAAATTACTGTTGGTACGACTCATTAAATGAAAGAAAAAGCCACAAAGGTAACAGAAATATCTTGAATATATAAAAAAAGTAATAATAAATCAATAAAATAAAGTCAGAAACTGCTTTTCAAAGATTCTTCAACAGAATGATTAAATAATAAACCAACGAAACAAGCGTGGACATAAAATGATGGTACTTATATAAAGCACAGAAAATAAAGTGACCAAATGGACATGTTAAATCAAGGTTTGGTTTTTACCAATTAGCATCACAGCTATCTATAATTTTGTAACGAGTGAGCATCTATAAAGAGCTACATGTAGTCACTGCGATGTTTGGTGACATGGTGTGTACCACACTCAACATGGACCAGAGAAATCAGAGTTATCTCATAAGTTTAGAGAGAATATTATAGAAATGTTTAAGGTAAAGACCAACAAGATCATCTCTAAGAGGTTTGATGTTCATAGTTGGACACATGGATAACGTTTTTATGTCAGAAGTGATGGGAACACAAGTATTTTTAATCAGGGTTCCTACAGCATACGGCAAGTTACATTCAAGACTTTTTAAGACTTTTTAATGCCACTTGAAATAAAAATTTAAGACCAAATCAAATTCACAAGAAAAACCTGCTTGCGACAACCTAACCCAAAGGTTTATTTTAACATAAACCACTGCACTAATGTTTCAAATT